GGGATCCGAACCCGTGGCCTTGGTGTTATCAGCACCGCACTCTCCCGAGTGAGCCACGGGCCGGCCCCTTGCAACAACGTTCTAACAGATCTTACCTTCCACTCCTACTCACCTCGTTCATTCTCCACATAAAAGCCAGAGCAATCTTTTAATGATCGTATCACGCTCTGCTTAGACTCTTCAATGACTTCCCATAGCAGTTTGAATAAAATCTAAATTTTCACCACTCAGGATCCTTGTATCCATTACACACCCCTGGCCCCATTGCCTAGGGACTGAGACCTTGTCAAGGACCTATAAAAAATGTTTGAGTGAGCGGCCGGTCTGTATGTGGGATCCGAACCCTCGGTGGAAGCGCCACCGTGCTTCCCAAGCGGCGCACTGTAGCAGTGCGCCACCGGGCCCGCCCTAGTTATTTATATTTTTCATTTTAATTTGTGGGATGTAATGTGGAGTTGGTCCCCCAAAGCAGGAGAACCTTTCCCACTGTTCCCTTTTTCCTCAGCCCTTCTCACTGGCTCCTCTGAAATTAAATGTCACCTCCCCAAAGGGACCTTCATGACAGCTCCCTCCACAACACACACACCGTTATTCTCTGTTGCTTTATTTCCTCTATAACGCTGAGTTCACCGTCTGTAGATACTATCTATCTGTGTATTCCATCTTCCCCATCAGACTAAGAAGCTCCATAAAGGCAGGAAATTTATGCGTCTTGTTCTCTGCTGTATCCTTAGGACCAACTCCAGCGCCTGGCGCAGAGCAGGCTTCAATCAACAGCGTGAATGAATAAGTAAAAGAGAACTTAATTCTTCAAGGCAGGAGGGCCGGGCTGGGAAGATTTGTCTTGGACTCCATCTTGAGAGGCTGCAGACACTCATCCTCCTTTGATTCTAGGCAGACGGGTTTAAAAAGGGATGTTTGGAGGTTTTTACCCAACAAAATTTAATGAAAGCTCCTGTCATTTACTCTAGTGGGGTCGGGGCGGGGAAATCAAAAATTGCCTCAAAACTAGGTGAAAAGGAAGTAGCTGGAGGCGACCTGCGGCTCGCCAGGTTTCGACTCTCGCACTGCACCCTCCGCTCCCCGCGACTGTAGCGACTCCAGCCCCTTCCCGGCTTCCACCAGGAGCGAAGCGTGGCCGCGGCCCTGGCTCGGGCGCCCAGAACCCCGCCCTTGTTAATTATTCATGAGAAGGAGGGCCCGGTGGGAGCCGCGTCGCAGAGCTATTCATGGAGGGGGCGTGGCCTCACCCCCGCTGGGGCTCCTGGGAGGGTTTAAAAAATATGCCTGAGGCCGCGGGGGCGCCTGGGAGGTGGGAACGCAGCTCGGCCGCCGACCCGGGCCGGACCCGCCCTTATTCCTGTGGAAAAAGCTTGAGGAGATATTTTCTTTCTGAAACATTAAGAAATTTGAGGACGGTGGGGCAAAACGACTAAGTTCCATTTTCCTGTGACTCTTTAGCCGGAAAACTGTCAAAATCTGTGGTAAAAAGAGGTTTCTTTTTCCTCAAATATTTTCTGGAGATAATTTCATCTTTTCATGGACTGAACGGGGATAAAAAAAAAAAATGCATCCCCCTGTGGTTTGATTCTCTTCTTGGCCGGTCTCTCTGGTGGGTCTCCCCACAGATGGGGTGGATCTCTTCAAAAGGTTTTGTTAAATGAAAACAAAACCGAAATGCTGGTCAATTGCTGTTTGCGGTTTTTCTCTGAAGGGGGGCGGGGAGAATTAATCCGGTTGGGCCCTCAAAACTTTTCACACAAAACTTAGTGCGATGGAACGGGGTCATTGAACCATCATGTTATTATTATTATTTTGGTCTGTGATTCTCATTCTCTAGAGGGGTTGAGAGGAAACCAGAATTATTTGGGGTGATTCGGGATGATGGCTTTAGGATTTTTTGAAAAGCCCGCTGTTTCCCCCCAAAACGTCCAGCTCTGAGTGAGGAAACCAAGGAATTGTAAGAGGAGACTTGAGTTTTAGAAGAATTTGGGTCCTTTTTTTTTTTTTAATCCTTTCAGAGATTTAAATATATATTCATAGTGGTGACACACGGAAGTCTCCTGGGTGTCAGTGAGTTTTTGAAGAGTCCACAAGCCCCACCCAAGTCTCATTTTACACGGTTCCTGAGAAACAGGACAAATCGTAGGCCAAATTTATATTTTATTGTAGTGAAAATGCTTTAAAATGCCTACTGTGAAAAGTTAAGAAATAACTTCGTGGATTAAATAAATTGGGATTCTTCTACTTGGTGGAATTGCACGCAGCTATTAAAATATATGTACTTGTACAAGTATATTTATTGGCATGGAAAGAGAATTCATAAAAAGATTACAAAATAGAATGAATAGTGATTCCCCTTTTTTGTTCAAAAAAAGCAATATATATATATATATATCTAAAATTCTGGAAGGATATAAACCAAAGTGTTTATAAGTGAATTTAATTTTCTTTTTATTTAGCTATATATTTTTAAAACCATGCAAAGGAGCAGAATATTTAGCTGTGTTTTGTAGGCTTTTTGACATGTTACTTGGGTAATTTTAATGATTATTTTTAAATATCTACTGATTTAAATATTCACTGAATGCTGAAGCTAAGTGTTATGGTATGGTTTTAAAGGAAGTTCAGATTATGCTTTTCACTAAACACTATATATCTTTTTCATGTTCCTGAATGTGTAAGTAACTTTAAATTGATGTAAGTTGATATGTAACCTTTTAAGGTGTGTAAGTAACTGTGTGAGCTTAGCAATTTTGTACAGAGGAGAAAGTTAGATTTATTTGTAACTCTGATGAAATTTCTTAGTTGTTACTTCAGAAACAAGGAGCCTTAGACTGTAATTGCAGTTATGCATGTATATATGTATATGAATATATACACAGAAGACATTGTTTTCTGAACTGGAGCAATAAAATAACACAAAGTCACTGTGTGTGATGCATAATATATTTTTTAAGAATTATTGTTTAGTGTAAGTAATCAGTGATTTTAATCAGTCACAATTAATAAGTTCCCTTTCAGAAATGTTCATCTTTGAAATCAAGTTGTATGGACTTGTAAGACTTATCAAGGACTATTATTAACAAAAGGTGGAATTGAGAGAATTATTATTATTCATCTCTTTGAGTCTTATTAATTTTACAAGACTTTAATTTCACTGCTTACCCAGCACATAGTTGTGTATTACACAGCACATAATTGATAATAGTAATGCCACCTATTTAATGTATTAGAGCTAGTAAATTTAAATAGCTCCAAACTTAGTCTCTATTTTTTATGTTTGTTTTTATTGTTTCTAACAAAGAACATGTCAGTACTTAGTTTTGAAGAAACAGGAAAACATTACTACAAATTTTTAAAGCTATAATAATACTTTGATTTTTTTAAATATAAAGGTTGTAAAGACAACATACTAGTTGATATTGAATGTATTTTTATGTTATATTGATTCTTGTGTTCTCTTACTTTTTTTTCTATTTTGTATTTCTCTTTTCTTAGAATATATCTCATCCAAATACACATCTTATTTCCTGCTAAAACTCTTACTCTATCTAGAATATTTGGCAAAGAGATAAAGGATTTAAAAATTTTTCAAATGATGCTGAGATGAATATATGGAGTCTATTGGTGGGAACTCCATAAATTGGATATGACATTAAAACTTTTGTAAATATGGAGAGACAGCTATCACCCATCAAAGTATCAACCTCTTTATTAAGAAAAATAACAACAGCCTTCGTTGCTTTAATTTCCTTTCTTCTTTGTCTCTTTTACTTTGTTTTTGTAACCAGGATAAATTCGTGATATAAGAAAAAGGATGGCATCTAGAATAAATACCGGTTTCACTTTGATTCCTAACCAGAAATATAGACGTAGTAATCGTCGATCCAGCTATTTTTCCACAATTGACTCAGATTCTCAGCCCTTATCAACACTTGGAAATTTTAAAGCCTTGCCGTTGGAAATATTCCAAATAACTTTAAGATATTTGTCAGGTGAGGTTTGGGACTATGAATAAGCTACACAAGATACTAGAATATTTTTATTTTTCCCAAGAACTAGTTTGTTATCTTAGGCCCTGCTAAGTGTTAGTGGCATTCACGTGAAGTTTATTTTCTAAAGTTTCATCATTGTTAGGTAAAGGGTACAATGAGAAAGCACAATACTCAAATTCTTTCAAGTATGCCTCTGTTTATAATGTCATGGTAACTTAATTTTTACATCCCAACATGTTTCTAATTCATTGAAAACTAGATTTAAAACAATTTTAAGATTTTTCCCACTGGGTTTATTATTAGTATTGTTAGTTAGCTTATAAATTAATAGACTGTACAAATAGTGATGTTCTTGCATTTAAGCCATTCATACATATACATTTCTTTTGGTAGTGAAGGATATCAGCATGCTAAGTATGGTGTCCAAAACAGTCAGCCAGTACATCATTAATTATATCTCAACCTCGTCAGGAAGCAAAAGATTTTTACTTCAGGACTTTCATAACCTTGAGCTGCCTGGCAGGAGACAAGACTCTGCTATACTGGAGCACTACAGATCTCTAGGTAATTTATGTAATAAGAATACAACAAGTAGAGAACCACACTTAATTAAAAAGGATTTCATTATACGATTCTGTTTGGCCAGTGGGATGTGGAATATTTCCTAAAATGTACCTATTTCTGTGATGCCTTTACTCTTCAGTGTGAGGGCTTTCCCTTAACAGTCCCTTACACTTCTCTTTAATGATGAGAAAGTGTTGGTCCTTATGATTTCATGTGGATATAATATCACCTATGCTTATTGTCTAGGTGGCTTACCAGCTTAGGAAATTGATGCATTTTCTATGCTTCACTTCCTATGAATCTAATGATTTTTATCTCTTTCTCTTTCCCTTTCAGCCATAATCTAGTCCTTAAAAATGGAAAAGAAATTTAAACACATTATTGTGAAAGATCATTTATTCTCTTAAAAGGAACTATGGTTTTCTTTTTTTTTTAAGTACTCTACACATTTACTAATAAATCGTTACTCTATAATTAAATTGACCTTATCAAAGGAAATTCTGTATAATCTTTTCTCCCTTGATTTGTAATCATTTATGTCTTTTAACCCATTCATTATTTCATTATCCCTAATAAAATTCTAATTTTGGCTTGACTAATGACACCAATTTAATTATAAAACCACTTTATAATTAACCAAAGTATGGCAATAAAATCAAGTATGAAGATGATGTTGGGATTTAAATAAATGCATAATAATAAGTTAAGTGAATATTGCTTTTTAGTAGCCCAAGGATGCCTAATGTTAAGATGATAAAATAAGACTATATAGATATGTAAATACATCAAAGTATATTTGATAAGTATATTTAATAAGATCAAATGAAAGGTGTGTAATTTGATTACAGTGTTGTTGGTTTTAGTATTTATGATAAGACATAGTAAAGCCTGTAACAGAATATGGCAATACTTTTTGCTCCTTTTCATTGTGAATATCTTTATTCTCCCTGACCAAGTCTCAATTGCGTAAACAAACAAACAAAGAAAAAAAGTGTTAAGACAATTATATGGACAAGTCAGTTAAAAAATACAAGTGACAGCTGGCCGTTTATCTCAGTTGGTTAGAGCACAGCCTTATAACACGGTCATGGGTTTGGAGGTCATGTGTTTGGATCTCTGTACCAGCCAGCTGCACCCCCCCAAATTTTTTAATTAAACAGTTTTTAAAAAATTCAAATTTGTACTGATCTTAATAGCTAGCTTTTAAAAACAGTTTTATTAATGTAATGATTTCAACCTTCCATTTAATTTTGATGCAGACACCTGGCTTATGACTAATTCTTTAGGTAAACGTTTGATGTACTTACCATTTTATCATGTTACCATTCCTATCTAATATGTTCTTGTTTTCAGACATTAAAATAACATTTTCAGAATCCTGCACTTTGAAGATTATAAATTTTAATTTGCTTCTTCATACAAAACAGAGCAGATGGCCAGTATGGAAAGAACATTATATCTGACTGTATTTTAGTGAGAACTTAAAGAAGTTGGTCTCTAAAGGGTATAGCAGAGCACCTGTGTTTAAAAAAAAAAAAAGTCTGCCAGTATTGGGTTTTATGGTAAATTGCAACCCTGTCATCTTATATACTAAACTAAGGAGGGTTTATGTTTAAAACTCAATTCGGGTCATGTGTTACTCAAACATAACAACAAAAAAAAGTCTGCCAGTATTGGGTTTTATGGTAAATTGCAACCCTGTCATCTTATATACAAAACTAAGGAGGGTTTATGTTTAAAACTCAATTCGGGTCATGTGTTACTCAAACATAACAACTTATAAAAATAAATTAGATTCCCATAGATTTTTCAGAATTATGTAAAGTAATTCTTATGTAAAAAAGAAAATACAGAGATGATGAAAGCTGAAGAAAGTCATGAGATTCAGGTATACATTTTTCTATGATGTAGTTGGAGGATAATTGCCCTTATAGGAATGCTAACAATGTATTGCCATTTTAGGAAAACAACTGTTAGAGGAAAGAAATCTTACACTTCCTGTCACTGTAGTTCAAGTTACATCTCACTGAGAAACTGGAGTCTTATTTGTTGTTGTTTTTTTAAAATATCTGAACACAAAATTCTATACATTCTTAACATGGCAGGCCCCATAAAAGGATATCTTTGAAGGAAGAGATAGATATTTCATCCAAAGTGGATACTTTCTGTGAGCAAAAATGACTTCTAACCTTTGAAATTTTAAATACTTATGACTTTAAATTTTTGTATTTGGAGAGAGGAATACGAAATCTCTTCTCGTTCTTTCCATGTTTTACCTTAACAACTCAAAACATATTTTGTGGACATGAGGTTAACTTCAAGAGATATTGGAGTCTGTTTGGAAGAAAGACAAAATAAAGTTTCCCTTGTGTATCTTTCTATGTCTTATGATCATATCTTTTTAAATCTAAATACTTTTCCATATGTGTTCTATAGTGTCGATTTCACAATTTTTTACAAGATTTTATACCACCGCCTCATAAGTGAACATCAGAGTCACTTGGTAAACACCATATATTATAACTGTTTTGCATTCTTCCTCCCAAACTTTCTCTTAAAAACCATATCAACTTATAGTCCACTGTGATACACCATACTTGATTTTCAAGAGACATTATGCTGTGCTCTATTGATATTCTTAAACTAATTGTGTTGTCGTTTTTTCTTGTGTCTCAGGTCTACTATTTAAAAGATGCACGTTGCTGCTACCCACCAAAGAAAGGCTAAAGTACATTCACAAGATACTCACAGAAGTAAGATCATACTTCTGAATTAGTTAATAACCTTGATTTCCAGAAAAGATATTTTATTATTAAATGTCTTACATTCATTTTATTTTATTTATTTTTTAAAAAAAATTTTATTGACACATATTGATGGTACGTATTTATGGGGTACAGAGTTATATTTCTTTATTTTTTTTTTAAAAGATGACTGGTGGGCCGGCCCGGTGGCGCACTGCTACAGTGCGCCGCTTGGGAGCACGGTGGCGCTCCCACCGAGGGTTCGGATCCCACATACAGACCGGCTCCTGCTCACTGTCTGAGCAAGGGGCGGGCGCAGCACCAAGGGTTGCGATCCCGTTGCTGGTCCCGGTCTGGTACGGGCGCAACACTGAGGGTTGCGGTCCGTTGCTGGACACGAAAAAAGACAAAAAAAAAAAAAAAGATGACTGGTAAGGAGATCTTAACCCTTGACTTGGTGTTGTCAGCACCACGCTCTCCCAAATGAGCGAACCGGCAATCCCTATATAGGGATCCGAACCCATGGCCTTGGTGTTATCAGTACCACACTCTCCCAAGTGAGCCACGGGCCGGCCCAGGAAAGTATTTTTAATATATAAAATGACAAACCTTTTGTGGTAATAGACTTGGAAATGTATATCAACATGTTTGGGCATAATCTCTGTGTAAGACTGAGTTTTATATACAAATCCAAACATACTTCCAGTTTTGATAGTTCAGTTCTATACTCAGTAGTATGCATACTGTTTCTGATGCACTGACTTTTTTCCATGTCAGTATTTGTGTTGAGTTCTGGTTTATATTATTGCAGCAGCTTTGCAGATGGTCTTTCTGCTATCCATTTTGTCATTCCCCAAACTGTTTTGTATACTGAATCAAGGTTACTCTTCCTAAAACATCACATACATCAGGATACCTTTCTTACTTAAAATCTTTCAGTGGCCCCTGTACCAGCCAGCTGCCAAAAAAACCCCAAAAGACCAAAAACAAAACCTTTCAGTGGCTACTCAGTTTCTGCAAGATAAGGCCCAAAGTCCATAGCTAGTATTTAGGGTTCTCCTGACAATACAACCTTACTTTCTACTGCTTTGAGCTTAATTAAGCTGTTAATAATATTTCTTACCAAATAGACATTGTTTATTTTACCTCCATACAATTTTATCCTTATTGTTTCCCTCACCAAACCTTCCCACTGGTTATTTCCGAATCTACTTTATGACATTGCTTATTTCATGTTTCCTTCATAAGCTTTTTTATCATTACCAAATTTTATCTTTCCCCCGCTTTTATATTATCCGATATAGTCTTTATTCAGTTATTTTTAAGATTTATACATATTCTAACCTGAATTATTATAATTTCATGTGTATGTCTTATTCTCCTAAATAAATTGTGAGCTCCCTAAGGGCAGAGACTTTGTTTTATACTTCTTTTGTAATACTCAGCTATGTAATACAATCCTAATCAGAATATATACTGAAAAAATTCTAGCGTATTTCCATTAAATTTGAATGTCAAATCATTGTACAGTTCCACTGAAAATGAGAAATTAACATTATTATCTTTACAGATTTCCTGTTTTAAATTCAATGGCTGTGCAGCTCCTATGCAATGTTTAGGATTACCATGTTATGGCATATTTTTACAGGTACTTTTTTTAATGAAAGAAGAAATGGAATACTTTTTGACCTGTTAACAAGTAGAGCGTGTAATCTACCTTTCATAGGTTAATAGAAGTTATAATAATCTTAAAGAGAGCAAAATAAAATTGTAAATATTTGAGAATGTATTAATCTAATAGTGTGTTTGCCATCTTATATTTTCTTCTTGGGTTTCTCATTGGTGAAAAATGTTTGATATTTATTTTCTCTACACCAGTGTCCTCGAAGTTTCCAGCCAATTGTAAAGACTAGAATTATTATGCGGTGGTATGAGTGTATGCACATATATATATATATATATATATATACACACACACACACACACACAGTGAGTTTAAAGTCTTGGGCTGGTTATTTAAGGTGTGATTTTAGAAATCAACTAAAATGTATGATTTCAAGTACGTTTTTTACTAATCTTTTATTGTAAACAAAGAAGATAATAATAACTAGCATTTCTTGAGCCCTTATTATGTACCAGACACTGTCCTAAGTGGTTTACACGCTTTAACTAATTTAAAACTTACAACAGCCTTGTGAGGTATGCACCGCACCTGGAAGAATCTTGCTCTGTATCCCAGCCTACCAGCCCTCAGATCCTACACACCCAGACTCCAGGGGCCTAGGGCCTCCTACTAGCCTTCTTCCAAGACAGATTTTTGCTTCTTTAATTTTGTTTTTGTTTTTTGTTTCTCTCTTTCTTTGGGACAGGTAATACATACCTATGTATTCATGTAAAATTCCAAAGGTACAAAATGTATAAAATGAGAACTAAGTCTCCCTCCAAGGTCTGTCCCTTGTCCACTGAGTTCCTTCATCAGTAATCACTGTTAAAGTTTCTCACATGTCCTTCCAGAGGGAATAAGAATAATTTTTAAAGTACTGAAATCCAGTTAACTATTTTAAGAAGAATTTTTGTGATCAATCAACCTTTCAAAATCTAAATGTAGTTGTATACCATATATATATTTTTTCCCCTTTTCATATGTTTGTGCATTCTAGTATGTTCAAATATAATTATTAAATTTTTGTCCTGGTAAAGGTTTTTTGTTTTTTCACATCAAAGAGTCCTAAATAAGTGCTCAGAATTGTCACATTAAAATATCATTTTCATTTGTAAGCATTATCCTAAATGACAGCTAGAGGGGGTCAAAGAGGTTCTACTGTAGTCTTAAAACTAAGCCACAGTGTGGTTGTGAGTCAGATGTCTAAAGTTGTGTTCCAGGGTTTTGGTCTTACTTTGTTATTTTCTTCATTTGTCAAAATTCAGGATTTGGTACCATTTAAAAGTTCTCTGAAAAGATACTCCCTTTCCAACCAAGAATAAACTCGATTTTGGAGCATTTCTAGGTTTTCTTTATATAAATTTCTTGTTAATTTGAATAGTTCCATGGTAGATAAAAATTGCACATTGACTTGATCATGTGCTAAAAACAGTTATGCTCATAAGTGACTTACATTTTGATTTGATGGTCTGAACATCTGCAGTGTTTCCTTTATTTTATTTTCCTCAGACCTTAACAGCAGGTTGGGATGATCTCGAGTGCCATCGTGTTTATAACTTTTTATGTGAACTGACTCATCTCTCCCGCAAGATGCAGACTGCTGTCTGCAGCAAACCAGGTAAAGAACTACAGTTCACAGACGATATTATATAGAGATTAAGACAGAAAAAAAAAAAAAAAAAGAAGAGTATATTTAAAAGTAAATTGTGGGAGGGCTAGCTGGTTAGCTCAGCTGGTAAGAACACAGCCTTATCACACCAGCAGTTCAGATCCCCATACTGGCCAGCCACCCAGAAAAAAAAAAAAAAGTAAATTGTGGCGAACATACAAGAGAACTTCAAAAAGTTAGTGGAAAAATATAATTAAAAGATAATACAAATCCTTCTATGAACTTTTTTAAGACCGCTCTTACACAGACAAAGAAATGTAAGAGAATGATAAACACTGAATGGAATAGTTAGGCAAAAAGCCCTATGGGAAAAGAGACATAGTCAGAGGGCTTCAACTGTATTAATATTTTATTCCTTAAGCTGGGTAGTGAATACAAAGGAGTTCGTTATAGTATTCTTTAACTCTTTTTTTTAAATTTTATTTATTTATTTATTTTAATTGAAACGTAATTGTTTCTACATATCTGTGAGGTACAGAGTTGACTATCAGTATTTGTGTACGATATGTGATGATCAAATCAGAATAGCTGTAATTGAAACGTAATTGTTTCTACATATCTGCGAGGTACAGAGTTGACTATCAGTATTTGTGTACGATATGTGATGATCAAATCAGAATAGCTGGCATATCCGTCAGTACAGAATGTATTCATTCTTTGTGTCCATTAACCAATTTTTCCCTAGCCTCCTCCCTCTTTAACCTTTCCATATACCTGAAATCTTTTATATTTTTAAAATTATAGAACTTTACATCTGGCAATTTCCCACTCTGAGAAACTCCCACAATGTGCACAAGGAGACATGTATGGGGTACTTCACAGAATTCAGGGAAAGATTAATATTATCTTTCAATTCTATTTTCCACAAACTTTTTGAAGTACCCTCTTATAAGAATGACCATTGCAGCATTATTTGTAACTGTGAAAAGCTGCAAACAACCTCAATGCCTGTTGTCAGGAGAATGGATAAATGAATTGTGGTATATTCATACAGCTAAAATCATCGGTAGTTAAAATTAATGACTAGATCCACATATATTAATATGGGTAAATCTTAAAACATAATTTGAAGGCTAGCCAGTAAGCTCAGTTGGTTAGAGCACAGCTTTGTAATACCAAGGTCAAAGATTGGGTCCCATACTAGCCAGCTGCCAACAAAACAAAACAAAACAACATAATTTGAGAAAAAGGGTTACCAAAGGATACCTTCAGTATGATACCATTTATATACATGATTAAAAATGTAAAACAATTATATTTATTCCTTATGGTTACATACATATGTAAAATAGTATAAGAACATATACTTTTTTTCAAAAGGTATGATGATTAATTTTATGTCAACTTGGCTAGGCCACAGTACCCAGATATTTGGTCACACATTATCCTAGGTGTTTCTGTGTAGGTATTTTTTAGATGAGCTTAACATTTGAATCAGTAGACTTTGAGGAAGGCAGGTTACCCTCCATAATGTCAGTGGGTCTCATCCAGTCAGTTGAAAGCCTTAATAGAAAAAGACTGACCACCCCAAGCAAGAAGGAATTCTGCCAGCAGACTGCCTTTGAGATAAATATATATATCTATCCTGTTGGTTCTATTTCTCCAGAGAACCCTTACTGATAAAGGAGGGACAAAACCCAAATTTAGGATGGTGACTACCTCTGGGGAGGAAAGAGAAAAGAATTAGAAGTGATATACAAGAAGCTTTCTATCTTTGTATCTTCAATGTTTATTTTTAAAAATCTGAAGCAAATATAGCAAGAAGTAGAGCTTTGACAAAGCTAGGTGATTGGTACACAGTATTTGTTGTAGTGTCTCTGCTTTTCTTTAAGCTTGAAATACTTCATTATAAAACAAATTTTAAATCAAAAGGGCAGATTTAGAAGTCCAATGAAACAACAGCAAAATTAATTTATGATGTTTCTCCCTTGATCAAAAATTTTTATTAGATCCATGATGTCTTCAAAATAAAGTCAAATTTATACTGGCCTTTACATTCTGGTCCCAACTTACTTTTTCAAACTCATTGCTCACTACTTTCATATCATTTTGACATAGGCATATTGCTCTACTCACTGTGTCTCAGAAACCTCTTAAACATTTCTACCTCAGTACCTTTTATTCATTCTATCTCATTTTCTTGAAATAACATCTCTCCTTGTCCTTTTTTTTTTTTTTTTGGAAACTGGCCAGTAAAGGGATCTGAATCCTTGACCATGGTATTATTACACCACGTTCCAACCAGCTGAGTTAACCGGCCAGCCCTTTCTCATCCTTAAAGACCCAATTTGCCTGACCTCCTCTGTAAATCCTTTCCTGATCAACCCAGGCCTCAATAATCTCTGTCCTCTAAACGTCTGTGTTACTTGGCTTGACATAGCAGGGGGTGCTTACATATGGCCTTGGATCATTAGTAGACTTTCCATTTACTCTTGTCTCACCTACAAGTAAGTAGAACGTAAATGGTGTAAAAATGTAAGATGTAAAATGGTGCAGCTTCTATGGAAGACAGTTTGGCTATTCCTCAAAAAGCTAAACATACCATATGACCCAGCAATTCCACTCTTAGGTATAAACCTAATGGAGCTGAGAGCAGGCACTTGGACAGATACTTGTATGTTAATGTTCATTGCTGCATTATTAACAATAGACAAAATATGGAAACAACCCGTGTCCACCAACAGATGAATGTATAAACAAAATTATGAGCCTTGAAAACATGCTAAGTAAAAGAAGCCAGGAACAAAAAGGACCAATATTGCATGACTCTATTTATATGAGATACTAAGAACAGGCAAATTTATAGAGACAGAAGATAGATTAGAAGTTACCAGAAGCTGGGGGAGGGGAGAATGGGGACTTATTGCTTGATGGTTATAGTTTGTATTTGGAGTGATAAAAAAGTTTTGGATATAGACAGTGAAGAACAGGCAAATTTATAGAGACAGAAGATAGATTAGAAGTTACCAGAAGCTGGGGGAGGGGAGAATGGGGAGTTATTGCTTGATGGTTATAGTTTGTATTTGGAGTGATAAAAAAGTTTTGGATATAGACAGTGGTAATAGTTGGATAACATTGTGAATATAATTGATACTACTGAGTTGTACACTTAAAAATGGTTAAAATGGCTGATTTTGTGTTATATTTTGCCACAATTTTTAAAATTAATAATATATCAAAAACCATTGAATTGTACCAGCCAGTTGCCAAGAACAAACAAAAAAACAAAAACAAAAACCACACTGAATTGTACACTTTAAATGGGTGAATTGTATGGTATGTAAATTATATTTCAATAAAGCTGTTAAAAAAAAAAAAACACAGTGTGATACCATTTTACATCTACTAGGTGGCTAAAATTAAAAAGTTAGATACCAAGAATGTGGAGACATCCAAATCCTCATATATTGCTGGTGGGAATGTAAAATGGTACAGATACTTTGGAAAACAGTCTGACAGTTCCTCAAATGATTAAATGTAGAGTTACCATATGACCCAGCAATTCCACTCCTGGGTATATCCCCAAGAGAAATGAAAATGTATTTCCACACAGAAACTTGAACACAAATGTTTTTTTTTCTTTTTTTTTTTTTGTTATTTTTATTATTTTTTGCTTGAACACAAATGTTTTTTTTTCTTTTTTTTTTTTTGTTATTTTTATTATTTTTTGCTTGAACACAAATGTTAATAGCAGCATTATTCATAATAGCCAAAAGGTGGAAACAACCCAAATGTCCATCAGTGAGTGAATGGATAAACAAGATGTGGTATATCCGTACAATGGAATATAATCTGCCCATAAAAAGGAATAAGTACTGATATATGCTACAACATGGATGAATCTTGAAAAGACTATGCTAAGTGAAATAAGCCAGTCACAAAAGACCACATACTATATTATTTCACTCATACGAAATTCCAGAATAGGGAAATCAATGGAGACAGAAAGTAGATATTGGTTGTTTAGGGCTGAGGGTGGTAAAGGACAGAGAGATAGGGGGATGATAGCTAAAAGAACAGGATTTCTTTTTGAAGTGATGAAAATGTACTAAAATTGACTGGTTATGGCTAAACGTATCTGTAACTATACTAAAACCATTGAACTGTACACTTTAAATGTGTAAATTGTATGGTATGTGAATTATAGCTCAATAAAGCGGTTTTTATCTTTTTTTTTTTTTTAAAAGATGACCGGTAAGGGGATCTTAACCCTTGACTTGGTGTCGTCAGCACCACGCTCAGCCAGTGAGCGAACCGGCCATCCCTATGTGGGATCCGAACCCGGGGCCTTGGTGTTATCAGCACCGCACTCTCCCGAGTGAGCCACGGGCCGGCCCAATAAAGCGGTTTTTAAAAAAAGTCCCTCAATAATCTAAAATTTTTATGGAGAAAAATGAAGTAACACTTCAGTACAAAGTATATTAATCATGTATGTCTTTGACCTTTCTCTATTTCTTTCTAAATCCAAAATTTTATAAGATTCTGGTAAACTTAAGCATGTCTTTTGATTGTCTCATTATTAAAAGTATTGGATATAAATCAGAAAGGTAAGGGTAAGCAGATAAACTATAAAGTTAGGGCAGCTTAAGAGCAGATAATTTCTTGGTTACTTCCTGTTTAGAAACCCAATTTATGATCATTGTTTAACCTCAATGGTTAATAGGTTGCTCTGATCACTCTCCGACACTCACATCAACCTTTCTAGGAAGAATGGTTTACAATTCTTTTGTCTTCATAGGAAGTGCTCGAAAACTGGAGTTAAGGATCAGATTGTTCTGTAGGAATGTCCTGCTTGATCACTGGACACATCGAAGTGATTCTGCTTTTTGGTTGACACGAATATTAAAACCATGGCCAATGGTGAATCAGGCAAGATTGCTGTATATCATCTTTGGGCCAATATCTCCTCAGGATGGTGAGCACCCATTTTTCGGGGATGCGTGTTATATAATTGGTTAATTACTTTATTTTAGAAAGTATATCTTTTTGTACCTGCTCAATTTCATCATTCCTAATAGCTAAACTGTATTTCATGATTTCATACCTGTATATTACATTAACTTATATATAACCTAAGCTTCAAGACAGAAATTGTTCTGCTGTAGGCCGTGACCAAATATATTCCTATCATTTCTGGTTTATATACAATAGCTCCTTTTCATTTTTAAACATTATCTTAACTCAAGGTTATATTTGCTACTAGATTGGTGTCAGTGAAGCAAAGTGATAGTCAGAATTGATGCTTAATTTTGCATAATACGATTTTTTGCAAGTTTTTTGCCTCTCAATTTTGCTTAGATTAATATTAAAAGTATCATGCATTTCTTTAGCTCACACTGATTTATGTCAGAAGGTAACAAGCTTAAAGTATGTTGAGTAACAACAGGAAGCCAGTCCAAGATGAAAATTTTGTTTGTAATCCACAAAGACAGTTGGTCATAGGAAATAATCAAAAGTTAACTGAATTACTCTGTTTTGATATAAATGTGTGAAAGATTTTCAAATATAATATTCTCTCTTTTTGAAAGATATCTGTAGGTTCTTTTTATTTTATTAAGATTACACCAATTGCTTATTTCAATTTCTATTATGGGATAGCATTATCTTTGAACTAGAAGCACTATTCTGCATCATGAAATTACCTTTTCTTTACTTCATTTAGCTATTGCTGATGTGCTTCATCATATCAGTAAGAAACATTATACTGTTATCGGAATTGACCTTTCATTATGAAAGTTAAAATGAAAGTAGCTTATATAAGTAAATGGATTCCATTATGCAATCCACTTTCCTTTTTAAACAATCCATGAAGTCTTTATCAGAAAGCCAACTATTCTGTTATAGCCTAGTTTTTGTTTTAATTCAGGACAGGTAGTTTGGCAGAAAATGATAGAAGGTCCTACAGATGAATCCAGTCTGAAAGGTTTGGCTGATGCCATTAGATTGCTATATGACACTCGCACCAAAGAGTGGACAACAGATGATGTTATCAGTCTTGTAGATGAACTATCAGGTAAAAATATATATTTACTAACAGAATAATAGAAATTTATTATTAGAATACAGTTGTAAAATAGTAAGATAATTCTATAAGTGAAGTACCTATTAGACATCACTAAATGCTCTAAAATATTTAAAGAGTTGGGCATTATGTTTGAAGAAAATGCATATAATCATCTTACTTTCCTTCAATTGCCAATTATATAAATACATATATATTTTTTAAATTTAATTTTTTTATTGAATCAAAATTGATTATACATATTTTGGGGGTTCAACATTGAGATATGTTGATCAAATCAATATTATTAGCATATATATTGTTACAAATCATAATTATTCTTTATGCCCCTTGTCCAATCTCTCCACATCCCCCATCCCTTCCCCCTCTCCCCACTAATTACCCTAGATTTCTTCTCTCCTTCTGAAAGAATAATAGTTACTCTGTTCACTTGTTGCCTAGATGATCTGTCCAATGCTGAGAGGTATGATCAGGTCCCCCAATATTATCATAGAGCAAATGCTTCCTCTGTCACTCTGAAATGGGCTTTGTGGAGAGAGACATCCTCTTCTTTTCTTTATCTTTGCTGGTGACTCACCTTGTTCCAATGCACTCCAGTGGTTGGTGGACCATCTGCATGGTGGTTGTGGCGTCTAGCCGCTTTTGTGGCAGCCATGGTTATTGTGGTGGCTGTGGTGGGCTACCCACATGGAGGTGATGTTTTTGGCATGCTCCTTGGTGCTGCTGGTGTGCCTGGTTGTGGGAGAGGGGTTCGCTTCCTGGCTCCATGCCTCAGGTCACCAGGTGGGCCCTGAGGTGCTGATGCAGTGTGCCTAGTTGTGGGAGGGGGCTCTGTTCCCTTTCTCCATGCCTCGGGTCCCCAGGCAGGCCCCGAGGCACTGGTGGTGTGCCTGGGCCGGAACTAATGTTTTGTCCTTTGCTTACTTCTAAAATGGGGGAACTTCCTGTGGGAACCAGTACTTGAGCTGTGTGGTTGAACTAAATTATTGCTCTGCTGCTGTTTCCCTAGGGAAGGCTTTTTGTGTAGCTCAAGGTTTAATGGTTGACCTTATAGGTACTTCGGGCTCTCCAGAGACCCGGGGGGTCTGGATTGTGTAGAAACTCTGATATGGGCCTGAGTTTTTTCATCAAACTGCACCCCATGCAATTCTGCATTCCCGACCAGTCCCCTCTGAGTGGTCCTGTGATGATTTGGCGGCAGGCCAGCTGTCCTTGCTGTGTCCCAGTGTTCTCCCAGTGGGCCTGTGCTCCAAACACTTCCCATGGGACGGGCCCTGCACTGGTCCCTTGCAATGACTTACCAGTCTCTTAATGACTCCCTTTTTTCAGTTGTTCTTGCTCCTCCCTCCTGCGTGGGTCCATGGGAACCCTATTAGTGGTCTTGCTGTCCTGGGGGCCGCCAAGGCCCTCTTCTCCCCTGCTGCCTCCAAGCACCTCCATCTGAAGGGCATAGCTGCGGCTTCTGCCATCTCCTGCTCCACGCACTCAGCAGCTCCAGGCTTAAAACGGTCGTGGCACAAAATGCTCAGAGCAGTTTTTTCTTTCTCTCATCATAGTTTCTCCCACCTTCATGAACTCCATTGGCGGCAGGCCAGCTGTCCTTGCTGTGTCCCAGTGTTCTCCCAGTGGGCCTGTGCTCCAAACACTTCCCATGGGATGGGCCCTGCACTGGTCCCTTGCAATGACTTACCAGTCTCTTAATGACTCCCTTTTTTCAGTTGTTCTTGCTCCCCCCTCCTGCGTGGGTCCATGGGAACCCTATTAGTGGTCTTGCTGTCCTGGGGGCCGCCAAGGCCCTCTTCTCCCCTGCTTCCTCCAAGCACCTCCATCTGAAGGGCATAGCTGCGGCTTCTGCCAGCTCCTGCTCCACGCACTCAGCAGCCCCAGGCTTAAAACGGTCGTGGCACGAAATGCTCAGAGCAGTTTTTTCTTTCTCTCATCATAGTTTCTCCCACCTTCATGAACTCCATAGGTCTCTCCTCCTCTTTCCCTGAGCTCCAGCGGCCCCAGCTTGGCTGACGTTACATTTTTATAGTTGTAAATTGGTTGATTTGTGGGAGAGAGTGACACTGGGGACCGTCTATTCCACCATCTTGACTAGAACTCCCCTATAAATGTATATTTTTTATTATTTGAAAGCTTCATTATTTAATTAGCTCAGTTATTCCCATTTTGCAGGTTCTCAGAAACACCCTCCTAAGTTATGTAAGAAGAAAGCCTTCTCCTGCTGGTATAGGAGAGGTGAAACAATTCTTGCCATTCCTGTATAGTCCTTTAGATGTTAAAGTTTACAAGGTTTCTTTCCTTACACAGGATTAGAGCACCTTGCCTGCTAATCTATGTGTAGGAGAATTGCTTTGCCTATATTACTAGTACATTTGTAAGAGCTGCCATGACATGGCAATAATCTGTGTCTCTGGTTGAATGCTGTAATTGAAAAACTGAAGTATTTTTTCTGAGCATTTCCCTTGGCACTAATTGTATTTCCAGTATGGTGATATAATATTGCATGTATTTAATGATATTTACTATAGCTATTGTGTAATTTCTCATTAAATAACTGTTCTTCCTCTAATAAAAGTGGTTCCCCGTGAGTGGCTTCTAGAGAATAATGCACGTCTCCTAATCCTAAGTGGGAATAACATCTGTTTCACTTTCATGGCTAGTAAAGCTGTGAATGGACGGGCACTTGAATTGGCAAGGCTCATAGTCTTTTTGGCTTTGGTAAGTAAAAATATAGTTTTTCTCTAGCAAGTTGTTTAACATTTCAGTTGACCTACCAAGGAGCTTCCCTAAAGAAATTGAAATGTGCACAAAACACTTTGAAAGAATAAACATTTAATTATATATTTTTAATACTTATTTTTCAAAATATTAAAATATATGCAATATATTGGGCCGGCCCGGTGGTGCACTGCTACAGTGCGCCGCTTGGGAAACGCAGTGGCGTTCCCACCGAGGGTTCGGATCCCACATACAGACCGGCCGCTCACTGGCTGAGCGAGGTGTGGGGGCGACACCGAGGGTTGCGATCCCGTTGCCGGTCCCGGTCCGGTGCGGGCGCGACACTGAGGGTTGCGATCCGTTGCCGGTCACGAAAAAGGACAAAAAGGAAAATATATATATATATATATATATATGCAATATACTATATTTAGAATAATATTTGAAGTCATTCCTTATATTGATCCCTCTCCACTTTACATCTAGATTGTCATTATACAGCTCTGCTAAGCTATATTCTTAAAAATAGGATTTTTAAAAAAGAGTCCCAGTTAATTTGCTTCAAAATAATTAATGTAGGAGTCGGGTGGGGAGGGAATGTGGAAGTAAATGGGCGTAGAGTTGAAACAAAATTGGTAATTGTTGAAGGTGGGAAATGGGTACTGGGGATTCATTTTACTATTCCCTCTACTTTTGTATAGTTAAAATGTTTCAAAATAAAAATTCTTAAAATATATTTAATATTCATTCATTTAACATAAATTTATTGAGTGCTTACTATGGGCCATAAACTGTGTGAGATTCTAGGACTGTGGAAATTAATAGAACAAATCTCTGACCACAAGCCACTTACATTCTTTTAAGAAATATCAAGATATACAAAAATAAACATAGTGGGATAAGTATAAAAATATATATACAAAAAGAGGTGGCTGAGAGAGAGACAGAATCAGGTGAGAGTAGAGGACAGAGAGGACTTCCCCAATCCCAGTAGATAAATGTTTTAAAAAATGAAGAGAAAGAGTTTATCAGGCAGATAGAGGGTGGCAGTAGATTATTCAAGGCAGCAGAGAAGTCGAACCACGTGACTATATTCAAGGCACTGTAAGCAGTTCAGAATTATTTCTAAAGTTTAAAACATACAGAAGAGGAGTAGAGGAGGTGAGGTTAGAAAGGGGGAGACTATGTATGGAAGGGCTTTGTGTAGGCCGTTCTGTGGAGCTTGAACCCATCTTCTGATAGGAAGCTGCTGAAAAGTTTTAAGAAGGGAGGAGAAGTGATTAGTTTTATGTTTTTGGCAGGTCATTTTGGAGCAGTATAGCAAATGGAATGGAGAGAAAGTCACTAGGGGTAGAGAAGCCTTTTCTAACATCTTAACTCTGATCATTATTTTTTTATATACTCTCTTTGTCTTCATTTGCTGTTAATGTTCTTAAGCCATTGTACATGTGGGGTAAGTCATCTCCCAAAATAAATTGCAAGCCCTTTGAAATCCAGGGCCATGTCAATTATTTCTTTCATAATGCTTGATACAATGCTTTATACATAAGAAGTAGTCAAACAGTCTTTCCTGTCAGATTGACGTTATTTAGTTACACTACTATATAGTTTATTTTCAAGCTGTACGTTATCTATTTGGCTGAGTTACATTGTGCAAGTAAATATTAGTAAATAAATCTTTTACCTTTCAGTCAATTTAAGCTAGGAACATGTAAACTTTAATTTCTTACTTTTAATAATGGATAAACAAATTTCCTAAAACTCTCAAGAAGTATATGGAAAGTTTTTCAAGAGGAAAGTTTATAATACCATAGAGTCTTGCTTATTGAAATTGCCTATTTGTTTACCACCCTCATTGGACTCCTTGAAAATAGAGCTGAGTTTTTATGGTTTGTCATAGTATCTTCAGTTCTTAGCAAGTGCTCAATAAATGTTTATTGAATGAGTGAATGAGCAGAAGTCTTGCTTTTCATATGTTAACTGTTTTCAATATTAGTTCTTGCATTAATAAATAATATTCCATGATAATCTTGGACCGGCTTTTTATTTACTTTGTACTTTTTCCCACTAAAATTGTACCATTCGAAAGCAAAGGAGTATTAGATATAAGAGCATTTCCCCCTTATACAATACAGTGTCATGTATAATAAATTATGTAAAATCATAAACCATCATTGTCGATAACATTTTCAAATTCTACATATTTTTTCACATGAAGGCTTACCATAATTCTTTGTATGTCTAAATCAGGTGTGTGAGAAAGAACTATACTGCATGGATTGGGCAGTTAAAATGATGCAAAAAGTCTGTAAAGTCTTTAGCACTCCAGTAGAAAGACATAACTTCCTGCAGAGTGTGGCAAATGCATTTGCATGTATTATAATGGAAATGCTGCAATCAATTACGTCTGGTGAGTAGGAATGCAGATAGTGCATAGGTATAAGTAAAAATGCACTCTAGTCTCCACTGAAGACAGAGCTAGGACAGAGCTAGTTCTGAGTAGACTTTTCTTTTTGGTGGCTGGACAGTATGGGAATTCAACCTTGGTGTTAGCAGCACCAGGCTCTAACCAGCTGAGCTAACCAGCCAACCCTGTGTAGACTTTTACTTCTAAACTAACAATGGAAGGAGCAGACTTTTTGTTTTTCCATTGGGATATATTTAGTTCCTGGCTCTTGTCACTTTTAAGATCTGGTATTGGTTTTAATAGAGAACATAAAGTTGAAGAGTTGGCTCTGAAAGAACCCAATTTCAATTTTGCATAGCAAGAAAATTTTAACTTGCTCACTTACTATCATAGTCATCATAATAATATCTTATATTTGTATAGTTTACAACAAATATTATTTTACAGTTTTATTAGGTAGTCAACATGATAATTAACCCTATTTGACAGATGAGAAAATTAAGGCTTAGAGAAGTTACCTGAGTCACCCAAGGTCATAAAGCTAGAAGCAATAAAGCATGGGCCAGTATTCTTCTTACTTCTAATCCAGTGTTCTTATATAATTCCATGATTTCAGTGGGTAATGTCTGACTTAGTAAAAGGTCACTAACTTTTGCTTAAATATTATTAGGGACAATTAGAATATCTTGTTTCACATAAATCATATATTTAAAATTTTAACTGTCATTTTCTTTTCCCTACTGTCTGTTCCTGTGCATGGCATATAGGAGACCGTGAAGAAGATGACAGAAACTTTTTGAATTTGTTCCATCTTGTACATGCTCAGGCTAACTTCCATAAGGAGGTCCTGTATTTGACCATGAATACTCTACCTAAATAGTCAGAAAGCTTTGCCTTTAAAGAATACCTCACTGAACTCAGAATTAGAAGAGTGCTACTTTTTCACACCTGAAAAATAGCATCCATGTGACTTTTTATCATCTAAGTAACCTAAGAATTCGAGAGCTGCAAAGAACTTTAGAAGCAGCTGTTTATACCATTATTAATATAAAAATAACTGGCAAATCCAAGAATGTATTAAGATTTCTCTGGAAAACAAGCTCTGCCTTTTCAGGTTTTAGTAAACCTAACACCAAATTGAAATGGAATATTAACTATCCAAGACTCTGGGGCCAGCCCAACCTGGATGTGTGGATCTTTGAAGCAAGAGAAATTTCTATTTTATAGTTAGAGCAGACCCAAATTCACTAAATAATATGTATTTGTTCACTTCGCTTAAGTTATCTAGACATAGCCCAGATGTTTTGTGAGGATTTGCAATATGGTATTTTGGAATGTACAGAATATAAATCACATTTTTACCACCTTCTTGGCATATGCTTACAAAGAACATTATATTTTGTTCATGTTTTGCGTGAACTAACAGATTTTTTAAAAGTGTGTATGTGTGTATAGACATATGCATAATATATGTAGGTATATATGCATACCTACATATGCACATGTCTTTCTTTAAGATGAATCATACAAAAGGTCTGTAAGTAGAGAAAGGTATATATTGCCTCAATATAATCAAATCATCTTTTATACCTTCCTGGGGATTAGAATAAAATGTTGCAAATAAGGAAAAATGTAAAATGAAAGAAAGTAGTTATTCTGCTGCTAGGACAATTTTTACAAATAACTTGAAGTTCTTTCTAAAGCTTTTCTCCCAATCTCAAGAAGTGGAATTTGATGAAAGACCCTAGAAGCATGGATGGTTAGAGCAGCCCATGAGAGAGTGGGGTTTCTCTTCACTCAATTGTAAATGGTTTCCAAGAAGCTCCAGGACTATTTCAGTCTGACTAGCATCTGCCACCACCACTTTTACTATTAAAGCAGATGATAATAGTGTCTAACCGGGGTGAAATAATGCTGGATCCCTCCTGGATCTTGCATTCTCTTCTCCTTGGATTTGATCACTTTACTTCTGCTGAAGACACTCTTTCTCACAGGACTTCTCAGAGCTGACTTTCTTTTCTTAAGCCCTTGATTAAACTCACTTTTGGAGCTGACAGAGGGAAGAAACACTAGAGGATATGGAAATTACCTGCAGAAGTGGGGTGTACATTTTCAAATGTTTGGCAAGAGGAGTTCAGTAAGAGATTAATAGAACTAAAGAAGAGTGAAAATTGTGGAGAAAGTATAAATTGTGATAACAGAATTTTACTATATTTCAGTAGCAAAAGCACTTACCTTAGTTTTTGTAGGGTCAGAATTTAGCTGCCTTTCTTTGATGGATTGTCCAACTATAATTCCATTGGTGGCAGGAATTTTTTTGTCCAGAATTTTACATTAGCATACTTATGGAGAAACAATGCTCTGTTTTTATCCCAGTTTCATTTTCTTCTCAATTTAAGAATTCACCCACAACTGAATTATAAAAATTAAAAGTTGGCAGATATGAGAGTATAAAATAACACCTTAATTAGTTTTTTCTCCCCCCGACCCTTTTTTTCCCATACATGCTTGGAAAGCATGGATTTATTTATCAAAACATTGGTGATTCCAAGTTGAGAATATACCTCATTTGATTATTTGAGAGGGAAAAGAAAAATAAAGAAAAAAATAAAAATTTTAATATAAATAGTGAATTTTTAAATATTTTACTAAATATATGGTAAGTTTAATTTTCTTAGAGAAAGAAATTTGGCATTGTGAAGTTTCCTTGAATTCCTTGAATTATGCAAGTCTCCACAGCATTATTTTCAGCAGGTTTACAAAAGAAACATAATTTAATTTAAAACATTTTTGATTTAGGTTTTGAATCTCTATACACACTTGAATTGACTGTGCTGTAAATTTTTTAAACTCACATTGTATTTCATTATTCTCAATAATTGTGAGATTACTATCTCACCCTCCCTAGAAATTTGGAACATAAAAAGTTCGATCTATTCTTTGGGTGCAGTAGATAAATCATATCATTTTGCCACCAATAAAAAGTAAACTGACAAATTCTTATTCAGTTATTAATAGATATAAATAACACTTATGACCAAATTTGTAGTTTTTTCTATTCAGTGGTCCAGTTTTTTGCTGAATATATTTGTCATCAGTAATAAAGTGTAATACCAAATTTTAAGGTGGGAGATGAACCTGCAAAAATATATTATCATCATCATCATTATTGATATTTAAGTGATGGTATAGGCAGTCAAATTGCCACACAGAAAAAGGAGCATTTGCCAAAAGGATAGCCAAAAAACACTAGAAGACTGACAATTTCTAACAAGAACAGTCATAATATAACCATGTAACCTGCAAGTCAGATAATTTAACCCATAACTTTTTCTAAATTAGGAGATTAGTCTGAATTAGAAGAACAGGCTCTTTTTTCCCTTTTTTTTTTTTTTTTCTTTTTTAGTCTTTTTTAAGTTTAAAAGGGCCAGTTGATCTTTTTTCCTTTTTATAGTGATTTCCTCAGTCTCTTTGATTTTGATTTGAGGGTGAATATTACTTCCACTAGAAGGCAAGCTCAACAACACATCATTATATTTATCTTTATTACTGTTTCTACACATACCCCACACCATAATAGTACTAATAAACTAATGATGCTACTTTTCTTAGAAAGTAATTTAAAGTTTTTATCTTGTGATAAATACTCTTTACCTTATGAAACCGTAGAACTTTAACACTTTTTTTGGATGATTTCTTCTCATGTCCTTCTGTCACCTTCGTAGTATTCACAATGCAGGCAGTAGATGACTACACTTGGGAAGTGGTTCGAGTGTTCAAGTTCAAGGGTTGTTTAACAGGCTCTTCTCAATAGCATAAACAATAGGCAGCTTTTTTCACACTTTTCCCATCCTATGATGACTTAGCTCATGCTTCCAGTTCTTCTGTTAGTAGCAAAAATTTTCTTGTCAGGTTAATTATTCACCTTTGGAGATTAGAGCAAGTATGAGGTGTCCAGCAGAAGGTGCTACTGGAAGAGCCTTCTTATGTCAATAAAAAACAAAAACTAACCTCTTTGTGTGATTATCACTCAAGAGTTAACCTCTTTATGGGAATAGTACTCAATTATATGATTACAGATTTTTATGTTAAAGGGTAAAAACAAAGTTGCTACAGAAGCCTCTTTGGTTATTCGACATCTTAATAGCAATGTGACTTCTGTAGCATTTCTGCTAGCAGGTAGCTGTGAAACCTGTATGAAATCAGGACATGCACATTATGCTCCTTGGTTCGTTGAGGCATCACTAAGATAGGAGATATGAAAGACAGCTGTACTGGACAATGTTCTCCAGGTTAAAACAAAAAAGTGCCAAAGGACTAATTAAGAATGTAGTTTTGTTGATCAAGAAAACAACTTTAACTCCAGAAAATCCCTCAAGTAACTGGAGACTTAAAAACAACTAAACAGCCTCTGAAAGGCCCTTAAATTAAAAAAATATTCGGATCCCAGTACTGGCCAACTGGTAAAATAAAAAATCTTTTAAAAAATTTTTAAATAATATTTGTAGACATTCTAAAATCACTGCTTTCTTAAAGGTGCATAAAACTTAAAAATATGCATTGTTATTTCAAAAGTATTGTATTTATGGTAAAATATCTTTGATACAGAAATATTTAATGTTTGCTAAATTTTATTTAATTTGTTATTTATTCATATTAATAAACTTAAAATTGGAAATATTTCCAACTTGTTCAGAGTGTTTCATTATACAAGTCATTGAATTTCTTATAAGGGAATTTATCTTTATTTAAGCTGTTAATTACAGCTCTACCATGACCAAAAAATGCAGTGTCTTAATACAATGTTGCAACTAGCTATTTATTTGTATATATTATATTTATGCTTAATATTATAACATAAAAAATTAAATAACTTCATTTAATAGTAAAAACTCATAAATTGAATGGTAATCTATAAGTAGAACAGTATTCTACAATGTTTTGCTATTTAATTCAGAGACCAAATCCTCAAGCAATTAATATTCTAATTGCTGCTAAACTACAAATGCTACAGTTATCATAGGTTAACACCAGTTTCGAAAAACAAAATGTGTAATTAAGTGTTGTTTATTACCTGCAATTTCCCATAACTACAAAATCTTACAGTGTTTTCTAAGAACAAAGTTCTTAAATCTTTCTGAATGCATCTGCTTTTGCATGTTTGACTTTATAATGGAAGTTATGTCAATGGCTTTTTCTGTTTCCCCCTTTACATATGTTTTACTTTCCCCCCCTTCTGTTTTACTTTTGTTTAAAATAGAGGGGTGCAAAACTAACAGAAGAGACAGGCCACTCTAGGCTTAGCAAATATTTAGAGTTTGATAAAGCCAAAGCATATAATTTACAAAGACAGTTTTCTACTTCAACTATGCTTAAGTACCTTATTAGAGGAAAGTCCCATTATTTTTGAATAATTTAAAACCAGAATGATATTTTTAAGGGCTTTTGAAATCTGAATAATGCTAAATTTAAGCCTTTTAAAAGTAAGCACATTATCTGAAATTTAATAAATCATGCTATGCCAAGTTTCAAACTCAGACAGTTTGGGTTTGATTCCATACATCCAAAACAATGCGTCATAGGTGGTTCTAACTCTGTAACATTTATTTTCCATCATTTAACTTTCATAAAATCTATCCTTTTAGTTATTGTTTCTCCTGAAATAAAATATATCACTTTTCCACACAGACCCCTCATATTCATCGGAAAAGCAGGTTTTAGAGTAATGATTCTTAGAATTATATCACACTAAATTTTTTCTAAATAATTTACAATTATTCAGTTGTTTTTACTACATTGACAAGAGCCAAGTACAATCCCCATTTTATTGGACGTGATTGCTCTATGTCACAGATTTGTAAAAGTTATACAAAACTTTAGATTACAGAAGTAAGTTTTCCCATTGTTTCATTCCGTTCTAGGATGCCAATATACAAATAGTTTAAGGTAAATTTTTTTTTATTTATTTTTGGGGCAGCTGGCCAGTACAGGGATCTGAACCCTTGACCTTAGTGTTTTAACATCATGCTCTAACGAACTGAGCTAACGCACCACCCCTAAGGTGAAATTTTAAACATTATCAAAGTAACACAGTAAAACCCTGTTATAAACTGGAATATTATAGCATAGATATAGGTATGAAGTAAAAAAATTTCTTCCAAAATATAATTATTGGGCCAAGCCCATGGCACACTCGGGAGAGTGCGACGCTGGGAGCGCAGCAGCGCTCCTGCCGCGGGTTCGGATCCTATATAAGGATGGCCGGTGCGCTCACTGGCTGAGCGTGGTGCTGACAACACCAAGCCAACGGTTAAGATCCCCTTACCGGTCATCTTTTTAAAAAAAACTTCAGAGAAAGCTTGGTTAAGAGACTATATATACTGTGAAGATCTCCACAACCATAATTAACTGTGTAGTTTGGATCAATCCAGAATAATAGCACTTGCCCAATTTACTTAGGTAGGGACGTAGAGCTGCTATATTGGCTTGAAGTGGAAAATTGTGGCTCAAAACGTGAGGTTATGCCATAAAGTCAGAGAAATATTTTAGTGGGAAATATCACATGAAGGACTCCACTGAGAACCATTCCTGAATGTATTAGTGTTCAGAGCCATGCTTCCTGCATTCGTGTATCTGTCAGCCTGCCTATCTTTTTGTTAC